TTTAGGGTTTAGGGTTTAGTGTGTAGAGTTCTGGAGGCCAGGGAGGTCCAGTTTCAAAACAAACACGAACAACTAAGACACACACACACACAAAAGAAAAGCAGACCTAGTCTCATAGTGCCTATAGAACTATACTGCAGTATGCCCTAAACCCTAAATTCTAAACTCGAAGCCCTGAACCCTAAACCCTAAAACTCACAAGCCCTTAACGGTAAACCCTGTACTCCCAGGTCAAAAACGAGAGGTTCATCGGCATCGAACGTTGCTACTCCGCCCATCGCGACGGGGCCAAGACCTTCCTGCCGGTCCAGGCGCCGCTGAGTTTGAGGTTTAGCCCTAGGCTTGTGTTTTTTGTTTGTAGGGTTGGCTTGATAGGTTTTTTCAACGTTTTTATGCAGGGTCTTCGTGGATATTCATAAGACTTTGTGACACTTACTTTCGTCATCGATTTCGGATTTAAGATTTATGTATAGGGCTGATGTAAGTTTCGTCGTTTGCCGAGGGCTTCGGTTCTTACAGGAAGAAGGGTTTGGTCAAACCCTGAACTGCAAACAAAAAGATTGGGGAGGGCATGTAGTGCAGGCTTCAGGATTTGGGGCTTTGGTGTTGGCAACTCGTTTCGGCTGTAGGGTTTCAACTGGGGCCGTCGGACTATCCAGCTTGCTCTCACCCAGGCTTTGCGTGATATTTTCGAACTAGTTACTATCATTCATGCCGGTCTTTCGTTACTGTAATCGCCCTCACTACAGCCGTCGGCTGACCTGCCAAAGCGAAGACCGCCCCAAGGAGGCAACCCGATCTGCCGACATGTGAGGACCCTAAACCCTAAACCCTAAACCCTCAAACACCCTGGCAACTTCGACATGCACGTGGACTCTTTGAGAGTCTGGGCATGGTGGCAGCGAGTCCCCTGAGGCGAACACCCACGCCTGCGCAAGTCAGGGGTTTAGGGTTTAGGGGTTCGGGTTTAGGGCTGTAGAAGTCCTGGCAAGGCCCAGATCAGGGCAGACGGTTGAGTTCGAAAGCAAAACCAAGCTTTCGGCCAGAAGCGATCATCGCAATTTTCCTATTGCTCGCAGTACGACGACGGAATTCGGGATTTCAGGTGTTGGATTTAGGTTTTAGGCATGTTTAGGGTCAAGGGTTCAGGATTTTGGGATCTACGGTTAAGAGTTCAGGATTGTAAGACCTGTCTTGGGCTTAGTATGTTGGGGTACGGTAAGGGCGTCGGTTTAAGGTTTAAGGGTTTAAGGTTTTGCCATGTACGCGAACGGTTGCGATCTTGAACATCTATCCTTAAGCCCTCACCCATATGGAGCTCATTCGTGTCCCTTCACAGGAACTGCATCAACGAAGCCTGGCAGAGCCCTGAATCTAAACTTTCAGTCGATATCGAAACCTCGCAATATGATCAGAAACCTGGAGAAGCCCCTTAACACTGAACCCTTAAACCCCCAAACCCTTAAACCCAAAGCCCTTGAACCCAAAACCTCAAAACCCTAAACCCTTAACACTGAATTCTAAATTCCAGTCCGGCCCTCTTCAGGTTGGTCTTTGCGCCGCGCGCCGGGATCCGACGCGGAGCAGCGCGCCGGGGGCTTTCGGGGTTTCTTAGACGACTCAGGAACCCTAAGGCTCAAAATAGCCCAAAAGCCTTACATAGTATGGTCTTTGGGCCCAAAAGCCTTGTAATATGAGTCCCTAGAGCCTTAGGGGAAGCATGAGGGTAGCAACGGCATGCATCTTTGTATCGTTCCGCATGTGTACGTGTATCTGTGTATGTACTGTATGTATGTATGTATGTATGTATGTATGTATGTATGTATGTATGTATGTATGTATGTATGTATGAGATTTTTCAGAGATTCCAAGCTATCCCAAGCTAAGCTACCTTGGCTGATGGTCCGGGCTCATACATCCCACTTGGAGGATCAACTTTAGGCTTCCTGTGACCTGAATTGGGGTTTAGGCTTCAGGGCCTACGGGCTTGGTTTTTAGGTCATAGGCTCGGGTGTTTCAGATTAGTGAGGCACCCCTGCTTAAGCCAAGCACGGGAATTGATACCCCTAAACCCTAAACCCTAAACCGTTACTCATGGGCTTCTCGCTTTGGGGGCAGGGCAACAGCCGGAACCTCTCGAGAAGCTCAGGCCCCAACGACTAAGCCCACAAGACTTCCACAGGCCCAAAGTCGGAACCATTTAACTTAACCCACTATCTGCAGACTATTGTGTACTTGGAGTCTTGGGGAACTGCTGCAAAAGTTATCTAATTCCGACGGGAGGCTTCTGTTACATCCCGCATAGGGCTTAGAGTTTAGGGGGTTTAGGGTTTAGGCTTCATCTACCCATCCTCGTTATCATAAGCACCTCAGAGCCTTCAATTGAATCCTAAAACCCTAAAACGCAAAACTCCGAATCTGCACCCTAAGCCCTAAACTTGAAAGCCCCAAACCAGAAAGTCTTACAAAGTGAATACCAAGGGGCTCCTCCCACTGGATCTTGTCCCCGATCTCGTTGTACGTCTTTCCGCGGGACATCGCCGGGGCCTCTCGGCGAAACGCTTTGCGTCCTTAGGCTCCTAATGTCAGTTCTTGAATAATAAACCCTGACCCCTTACATACCACCAATGGTCTGAGACAGGGCCGACACAGCCCCTAGATGAATCTGACTTAGTAAATCTGTTTCTATCATGCTCGGGTCTAGCATGTAACAATGCAGGGCTCATGGTTCAGGATTTGGGATTTAGGGTTTAGGAATCAGTAACTGGAAGCATGCTTTAGGCTGAAGCCTGAGGATGTTGGGGGTTTAGGGTGTCGACTTGAGGATGTCGGACATAGGACTGCGGAACATGAACGGTACCATGTCAAGCTGAAACCGGGGCACGGACCAACATCGATAAGTCCGTACACGCAGGCACCCAAAGAAGCAGAAAACCAAGTTCAATACTGTCAATATCGTGTGATGCCAACCGGATACAATGACAACCGAATCCCCCAAGTTGCGTACGCAATAGGGGGTAAATAGTTACCAATACTATTCCTCAGGGTGCCTGCCACATATAGTTATAGCATGATATATCCCAAGGCCCTATTCTAATGTTGCCGGCCCGTACATTCTAGATCCATTATAGCAACCTCTGTGCTGCTTTAAAAGGAACCCCTGCTACAGATGGTCAGGCCCCTATGCCAAGCCCATATAGTAACTTCTATGCCCCTCTAAACGGAACCCGTAAAAGCTCCCTGAAGCCTAGATTCGTTAGACCCTAAGCCCTAAACCCCCTTGATTAAGGCCCTTTACCCTAAACCCTAAACCCTAAACCCTAAACCCTAAACCCTAAACCCTAAACCCTAAACCCTAAACTAAGCCCTAAACCCCCTTGATTAAGGCCCTTTATGCTACACCCTGAGCTCCGAAGTCTCAAGCCCGTGTGGGATCCGCTTCGACCTGAGGCAGAGCGCCACTTCTCGGTCTCGGTGCAGAGCTCGGCTTCCTTGCATCCAACTAAATCTATATAGTAGGTCTAGGGTTTAGGGTTTAGGGTTTAGGGTTTAGGGTTTAGGGTTCCAGAACCTTCAGTAAGTCTACTCCCTAATGTAATTTCTTCTTGCGTGCCACCTAGGGGTAGGATCCAAAGTATATGAATGGGCACGGAGGTTTGTAGCGTTTACCAGCGGCTCCAACTTGCTGGTCATACTTCGAATCGAGGGCGTGTATGGCATCCTGCTTGACCTTCGAGTTCCGGATCACAGGTACGGTCCCTAAGCATGAAGTTTATGCTAGAGCCACTAGAGAGGGTCCCTAAACGCTAAACCCTAAACCCTATAGAACCTAATGAAACCCTAAACCCTATAGAACCTAAACCCTAGACAGTAAACCCTATAGACCCTAAACCCTACACCTTCAGCAGCTGCAGCTGATGCCTTAACTGTGGACCTGCGGACCTGACCCTAAGCCCCGAGCCCTGGAACCCAACGGTTTGGGGGTTTAGGCGTTTGGGGTTTTGGGGGATTTGGGGTTTAGGGGTTTAGGGGTGTAGGGGTTTGGGGTTTAGGGCTTAGGGGTTTAGGGGTTTCGGGTTTAGGGGTTTAGGGGTTTAGGGTTTAGGGGTTTTGGGGTTTGGGGTTTTGGGTTAAGGGTGTTGGGGTTTTGGGTTTAGGGGTTTAGGGGTTTAGGGGTTTAGAGGGTTTAGGGCTCAGGCAGCCACGATGGTGTTCCTGGATCAGAACGGCTTCAACTTCAACGATTGGGTGAGGCCAGGTCGGTCCCGAAGCCTCAACATCTGAGCCCTTGGGCTTGGGTTGAGGGTTTAGTTGGCTTGGGGGCGGTGTTTGGTTTAGGGTCTGTGGATGTCTCGTCATGTAGGTCTTCACTAGTTCTTGAAGACCTACTTCGGCTGTTACGTTGTAAATCCTGCACAAATCCTGCATGCTTACACGACAGTAGGCTCCATGATTCATAGTTCCCAGGGTGAGAACTTCATGCGGCATGTGCAGTACCCCTTGGCTTGGAAATCCGAGACCCATATCCTAGACCCTAAAGCATCCTGCAACCCTGGACCCTGGCGCGCTAGACCCCAAAAGCCCAAACCAAAAAAGCCTAGACCCCGAAGTGCTAAAACCCTGGGCGCTGGCGCCCCTAAAGCCGTAAATCCCCTAAACCCTAAACCCTAAACCCTAAACCCTAAACCCTAATAATCATGCAGCGTCCCCTCGGTGGAGTCCCAGCCCCAGCAAAGGCTAAGGCAAGGTTCGGTCTCCAGAAGGGCTTCTGAAGCTTCACAAGGGAGGTATGAAGTTGTAGGTCTGCGGTTTAGGGTTTAGGGTTTAGGATTTAGGGTTTAGGGTTTAGGGTTTAGGATTTAGGGTTTAGGGTTTAGGGTTTAGGGTTTAGGGTAGTAGGTCTACAGTGATTTACAATGATTGAGGTTTGCGGGGATTGGTCCTTCATGAACTTTGCTTCATGGCATTGCGCTTTCTGGCCTGAGGGAGCTACCCACCCCTGAGTTTGTTATCGGGGACTGGCTAATTATTCATGCTATTCTTGAGGGCCCCTGATTCCTAAACCCTAAACCCGACTGATTCTGACTTTTCGTTCGTAGCGCATCCCAAGAACCCTGTTCCGACGATTCGGGCCCTCATGGTATTCACCCCTGCAGTAACCCATACAGAACTCTTCATGCAGGAGCCCGTAAGGGAATCCTATTCCAATGATCGAAGCCCCAATATCCAGCGATGTATCCCCAAAACCTTATTCTAATCTTTCAGGTTCCTAAGAACCTGAATTGCACAATCCTGGCCCGAAGCCTGATACCTATAAGCGCTACATCATCAGGTTTCCTCAAAAACCCTAAGGCTCAAAATAGCCCAAAAGCCTTACATAGTATGGTCTTTGGGCCCAAAAGCCTTGTAATATTAGTCCTTAGAGCCTTTGGGAAAGCTTGCGGATTGGGCCAGCGTAGCATTTAGCCTTTCCGTTTTGAGGTTTCCGGGCTCCGGGTGTCGGCTCTATCCTTCTGGAAGGGTTTAGGGTTTAGGGTTTAGGGTTTAGGGTTATTGACATAAAACAAGGTGGGCCCACCAGCTTTCGAGAGCCAACTACCAGCTCCTTGGGGTGGTTCAACTTAAACCCTAAACCCGAAACCCGAAACCCTAAACCCTAAACCGTTTGAGCATGGGCTCGGCGACTCCATGCCAATGCCTGGGACTCCGATGCTCGGACGCCTTTTGCCCGTTGGCCTTCCTCCTCCACAACGAGCTGCAGCGGCTGAGACAAAACGAGGTAAGCTCCGCAGAACGTCAGGGCGAACTGCGTTCGGAACTACACCAGCAGTTCGCCCTGAACCGTGCCTGGTGCGAGCGGCACGAGGCCTGGAACCATGCTTGTTTGGATGATTCTGCCTCCGCCCAAAGCACTCCTGGCGACTGAAGCCGCCCAGAGGAGCCTCGAGGCTGCCACCACCAGCCACGACACGAGGCCACGGTCCACGCTGAGCATGGACACAGTGATCGGGCAGCTGACAACGTTGACATGACTGCCGAACACACGCCATGAGCGCTCACAGCCACCCTTAAGACTTGTTACCCTAATCCCCATACCCTAAACCCTAATCCCCAAACCCTAATCCCTACACTCCAAATCCCTAATCCTTATATCCCTAAGCCCTGAATCCCTGAACCCCAAACCCTAATCCCCAAATCCCTAATCCCAAAACCCCGAACCCCTACACCCTAAACCCCAAAGCCCTAAACCCCAAAGCCCTAAACCCCAAATCCCTAAACCCTAAACCCAAATCCATAAACCCCAAATCCCTAATCCCTAAACGCCAAATCCCAACCCCCAAAACCCCAAAATCCCTAAACCCTAATCCCAAAACCCCAGAGTCCCAAAACACCAAAATCCATAAACCCCAAAATCCCTAAACCCCAAAATCCCCAAACCCCAGAATCCCTAAACCCCAAACCCTAAAGCCCAAATCCCTGCAGTAAACCCTACCTTAAGAACCCAAAACCCACTTTTTGTAGGTTCCTATTATAAACCCGAATATGGGATTTATAGGGACCCTACAAAAAAGTAGGTTTTGGGTTCTTAAGGTAAGCCACAATCCCTAAGCTCGTCGAGTCGCTGCCTCGTTAGGCACGGCCTGGGATGGCTTAGGCCAACGGAAGAAGAGGAGGGGCCGTTGCAGGGGTTTAGGGTTTAGGGTTTAGGGATTAGGGATTAGGGTTTAGGGTTTAGGGGTTAGGGTTTAGGGTTTAGGGTTCAGAGGGGTTTGGGGTTTGGGGTGTAGGATGAGGGGTTGAGGGGTTTTGGGGCTGAGGGATAAGAGGGGCTTGGGTTTAAGTTTGGGGTTTGGGGTTTTTATGGTTTAGGGTTTTGGGCATTCGGGTTCAGGGTGTAGGTGTAGGGAGTCGGAGGTAGTCGGTTTTCTGATATTGGGTTCAACGTCTGAGGGCGGGGACTGGTGAGAGCCCCCCTACCCAGCGGTGTGGGTTCTGAAATCCTGCGTGGAACTGCACGGTGCGAGTATCATGCCTGGGTCCAGGTTTCAGGGATCATTGCCTCTAAAGCACGCAGGTATTTAGACTGTAGAGCCTGTCCCATCTGTTTTCCCGAACCTTGTCGAGCTCAGGCCTTGCAGCGGAAACTTTAAGGGTACCCGCCCTGTGCCTCAAGTCAGTAGCCCCAGGAGAAGCGGCGGAGCGTGCAGCAACGGATTGACGAGGTCCGGTATGTGGCCTCCGAGCTATAAACGCAGAGCAGGGCTCCAGTGCTGAAAGGTCTACCTGCACATGCGCAACGGGCGCACATGTGTCTATGTGGAAATGTAGAACATGCATGGCAGAGTTCGCTCTGTATAGGGTTTAATAGAATTCGCGGGTTAACGGGTTCATGGAGTTTCGGGTTCGTATGATTTGGGGTTTGGGCTTCTAAGCCCTAAACCCTAAACCCTAAGCCCTAAACCCTAAACCCTAAGCCCTATACCCTAAACCCTACAAACCTGCTGAAACAAGCGCTCAAGCTCCAA